TATTTAATTTTTTTATTCTCGGAAACTGAAGGGAATTAAAACTTTAAAATATAGGCATATCTAGTTAATATTACCTAATTTATTTTGCCAAAATTTTAATTTTTTAACAAAATTACTTTTTCAAATATCCTTGTCCAAAATTATAAAGGATGCTGCATTCACCTTAATATACCAACATACAGGGTCTTTAAAAATTCATGCGACAAATTTCAGGAGGTGATTGCTCGTATGAAATTAAGATGGGTTTTTCTCATGGTATAAAAAATGAAAGGTAGGATATCAACAGTGTTAAAAATAGGACGGTCACGCGCATAACGTCATGCGTAGAGTTTGTATAGGCGCGAATTTAAAAATACTGACGAAATGTGAGGAAAATATATGCTAATTACAGAAATTTGATGAATATTAAGGATAATATTTGAAAAATTACATGAAATATCTATGGATATTATTATGGGATAGTTGAAGAAAGAACTATGAAGGAACATAAATCCAACTACATAAAGAAATATTTTTTTGAACAGTTTTTTTTTTCCTTTTTTTTGTTCATACAAATTCTAAAGAATAGTTTTTATAACCAGGATAATGAAATAAAGGGTATCTTCGCAACTCGAAACTGGGGATTCTGGTAACAATATCCCATCTGGGTATGTTGAAAATTTTTATCTGATTAGGATTTGCAACTGGTTACTCATTTACCTGCATTAAATTACCCAATTGAATAAAAATAGGTTTAAATTTTTTTTATATATATATAATATAATGCTGACATTCATATAATATAATGCAAAACATAAAAAAATGTACCAAATTCAAATAACTGCTACATAAAATATGGTGGGTGCATATACAAAATTAAAATAAAATGCCGCTGCATTTTTCGTGGACCTAGTCGCTGACAGTTTTTTAATTCATTCATCAAGCACAAGTCGAAATTTTTTTTTTGTGACACAATTTCACTTTTGCTTATATTGCAAAATTTTTAGCCTTCAAAGGGTAGAGTCTCCAGTTTAGATGTTTCAAGTTGTGAATGAACCAATGTGATTCACACTGGTTCATTCACAACTTCACATTATGTAAAGTTTTGATTTGAGGTCCCTTTTATAATTGGAAGGTTGAAAGTGCTTGGAATTTATATGAAAATATATCTGCAATGTCACAAGCCACTGCAAGGGCTGCTCCATTTTGAATTTTCTTGAGAAGGAGGGTAGAATTGCCTATTTAGTATATTTTTTATAATAAAAGGCTCATGGATTTTAAGAATTTTAATCTAGGGAACAGCATGCTCTCCTGGGCCTCGGCTGCAGCCGCCCTTGGACCACTCCTCACTTTTGACTGAGCTCTTACTGTCGAAGAAAGCGAAAAACCATAATATCTTTCTTGAATACATCCGTACCGCAATTTTGCAATGTTTTTCACTAAAACCACTCGCAGAGAACAAAGTTTACAACATAATATAATACAAATATCTGTTTACTATCATATAAATCAGTATAAACGACTCACAAATTACTGCAACATGCGTCTGTCATATGATATTTATTTCGCGCCAACTCTACTAACTCTACGCATGACGTAAGCGCCGCCATGACACCATGCGCGATATCCCCCCCTGGGTTTTTCTTATAACAAAATTTCCTCAGCCCACCCCTTTCCGAGATATCACCCTTAAGAGGTGGTGACTAAAATTGAGTTTCTATTTTTTTTCTAAAATTTCAGTAAACCTAGAAACTTGAAATTCTGTAATTTTCGTGCACTCGCAAAGGACTAACCACGGTTATTTTTTCAATATTCCTGTTACATTATAGGGGGGTGAAATTAGCAACCCTTACTTTACTTCATATCAAAACTTTTTTCGAGATGAAGTTTTATGAAATAATTTTGTAATTTGAAATCCTTGTTTTATTTAAATTTTTTTTTAATTTTAAATATTTTTCCCAAAACCAATGCTTCATAGAAAAAAATACTGTTTTCCACTCAATTTATTAAAAAAAAAAAAAATGATAAATTAGGGTGTTAACTTTTTTTCTCTGAAGCTATTTGTTTTGGGAAAAACATTCAAGAATAAAAAAAAATTAAATAAAACAAGTATTTCAAGTTATAAGTTTATTTTATAAAAGTTCATCTCGAAAAAAGTTTTGATATGAAATAAAGTAAGTGTTGCTAATTTCACCCCCCTATAATGTAATAGAAATATTGAAAAAATACCCGTGGTTAGTCTTTTGCGATTACAGAATTTCAAGTTTCTAGCTTTACTGAAATTTTAGAAAAAAAATAAAAACTCAATTTTAGTCACTACCTTTTAAGGGTGATATCTCGAAAAGGGATGGGCCAAGGAAAGACCCATCTTAATTTCATACGAGTAATCACCTCCTGAATTTTGTCGCATGTATTTAGAAACTGTATGTTACACATTATTTTAAGCGGGCAAAATTCTTGACAATCTCTTTTCCCTAATTGGCGCATGTCGTATTTCTCTAGGATTTACTAACTCTGGCAGCAAACAATTAAAATAGAAATTTGTCAGCTGTGGTAGCATTTTTGCCTTCCAGAATTTTTCATTTCATAAATTAACTAAAAACTAAATTAAACAAAAACCTAACAACGCCTCAACAACAAACTAAGACGATCACAATAATTTCGCACCTCTTCAAAAACAACTACCTATTTTTCGACACAGGAATTAACAAATTTAATTAAACAGCAGCTACCCTTTTAACGACGGGCTTCATAGACTAGCAGCGTTGCCATATTCACTGGTATCATTGTTTAATAGAATTAGTATCGGAATGAAAACTATGTTAATCTTTGGTTCTGTTTAAAATTGGTAGTTTTAAAAAAAAAAAAAAGTTATTTAGAAAATAGTTAAGATATTTGTTATAGAATGACGCTAAAGAGCCAAAAAATTGAATTTGTTAAAAAGTTGAAAGTTTTTCGCGATTTAGCGTCATTCTTGGTTTATTTTTAGAACGATTGACCTGAACCATTTTTTTACAATTTTTTTTTAACTGCGTCAAATGTAAAATTGATTTTTGGCGAAGGAGCGCCCGTCATGTGTGCCCTTAAGTTGATTGAGAAGCAAATTAAATCCTATACACACACAGAAATGTTCGTGTTTAATTTCCTTTTCCAGTTAGAAATATTTACATTAATATTTGCCAAACTGTATAAAATATTAACGTGAAAATTTCATACCAATATTCTTCAACCAATCAAGTCAAGCCAGTTTTTATCCTTACTATGACAACAAGGAAGATTTTCAGAAATGTTTTTCATTCTTGGTACCCTAAACGTGATTACACTAAAAATCTTTCTGTCAAATGAACAGCTTTTATATTTATTATTGACTTTTACACTTGGAAAAGCTGTCAAATAATAAAAAATGTAGATACAGATCCCCTTCATACAATTAGCAATTCAACTATTTGAAATTTGAAAAATACACGTGCAAGTACATGTTTTAAAAAATAATCCCTTGTACACGCCGTGATTGTATAGAAAGTAGCTTTTTGTGGTCCATTTAAGAGTTATTGCTCTGGACGCTTGAATTTCGTTTCAGGGGAAATTTGCAGTAGGTATCTCCTCCAATACTCCCACCTCAAAAGATAGAAACCCTTGTCAGAGACATTCATTCAATTGCATCTGTAACTACCGTATAGGACACGGATATACAACTATTGTTTTGGGACGGACTCAGTATAATTTGAAAGATTTGATAGGCGGTGTATTGTGTTAGTGTTATTAAAAATTTGTATATTAAATATTGTGGAGATATTAAAAGCATGGGAAGAAGAAAGGATTCTTATGTTAAGAGAAAGAATTTTAAAACTACGGGCCTTAATTTAAATAGGGCTAAAGTAAAAACTTTTGTTCGGTCTATTTTAGATGGTATTTTAGATAAGAAACTAAATTAAGTACTTATTTATTGTTTCGGCCTTTAGTTGATGAAAATCCATTTTATCTTGAATGAGTAAAACCAAATTTGGTAGATTTTCACAAAACTTTTATTTTAAAAAATAAAAATTAAAAACACTACACATGACATGTTTCGAAGTACAACTTCTTTTTCAAATGTGACTAATTTACAATTCGGTATCCAATATATATGCGAAATAATTGAACAAACCATCCTAATATTACATTTACTATGGAAACAGAGAAGGATAATTCAATTAATTTTTTAGACCTAAATATTATTAAAATTAATAAAGGCCATAGTTTTGGGATATTTCATAAGCCATCACATACTGATATTACAATAAATAATAGTTCATCTCATCCATACAAATAAAAGCTGGCAGCATACAACAGTATGATCCATTAGATTAGTTAATATCCCCCTTACCAAAGAGAACTTCACAAAAGAATTAAATATCATTAAACAAATCGCAGTAAACAATAATTTTAATACAAAGTTAGTAGACAACATTTTAGCGAAAAAACTTTTTAAACATGCTATTCAACAAGTTTATCCCATAATTAAAGATCAAAATTGGAGATATAAGAGTCTTACATATATAGGAGCTCCTAGTGAAAAGGTATCATCATATTTAAAAAACCAAAATATTAACGTAGCTTTTAAAACCAATAATACGCTTGGGAAGTATATTAAAAACAATAAGGGTAAAATTAATCCTAATAATAAATCGGGGGTATATAAATTAAATTGTGGTAGTTGTCCAAAACTGTATATTGGTCAAACAGGCCGTACTTTCAAAAAGCGCTATTCCGAACATTATAATAGCTATACAAAAAACAAAAATAATTCTACTTACCTTAATCATATTTTAGCTGAAAATCATTCTTTTACCGACAACTTTGAAATTTTACATATAGAAAATAAGGGCAATCAACTAAACCATTTAGAAACACTTGAAATAAATAGATTTAAAAATTCAGATAACCTACTCAATGATCAATTAGATATTAATAACTGTTTTCTTAAGTTAAAAACAAAGTACTTTTCTTAAGTACTTTGTTTTGTTCAATTATTTCGCATATATATTGGATACCGAATTGTAAATTAGTCTCATTTGAAAAAGAAGTTGTACGAAACATGTCATGTGTAGTGTTTTTAATTTTTTATTTTTTAAAATAAAAGTTTTGTGAAAATCTACCAAATTTGGTTTTACTCATTCAAGATAAATTAAGTACATATAAAATATTTTTCCGAAGTTCCTATTACTTTCGTATTAATGAGAATTGATTTTTAAAATATTTAAAAGACTAAATTTGAGTCCGAAATAATTATTTTCAATTCTTGAGTAATTTGGATCATGAATTTTTGGTAAATTACTAAGTGTTTCTTTTTTCTTTTCTTTAAGATCGTGATGAATTTTCTACAACATCAATGGTATTACCAAATACAAGGCCAGTTACATATTACTGGCCGGAAAGGATGTATCTTTGGTGTTTGGACAGACCATAAACATCCACTCAAAGTAGAATACATACTAAAGAGACATGATTTCTGGCAAAACAAAATGGAACAAAAATTAAAAAGTTTTTTTATGAATTGTATATTACCAGAACTGGTAGATCCAAGACACGTAAGAGGGATGCCATTAAGGGAACCAGCTTATATTTTAGAAGCAATCAAAAATAAAAAACAAAACAAAAAAGAATTAAAAATAAAACAAAACTAGTTTGTTTTTAATTTATTAACGTCGGTTTAAAATGTGGTGTAACTCTTTTTCTTCCTTATATCATTTCCAAAAGTATTTTAAGTTTGATAGATTTGTTATTTCTTATTAAAATTTGATAAAGATTTCTTCATTTTTTTAAATAAACATTCATGAAGTACCCTTTAGCTTTTTATTAAAAACGTTTACATGATGGTTCCATCGTTTTAAAAAAAAGTTAATAAAATATATTTATTTTTGTGACTTCTAGAATTAAAAGAATTTGCTCGAAATTCACACATTTCGATTGTAATAGTAAACAGTGCAACAGCTCTTAACTAATTAACAATATTTCCTTTTAACAAACTGTGTAGGTATTTTATAATATAATATTTTAGGTATTTTATAATTATTATTTTTACTTAAACGAATGTAAAGAACCATTAATGGCATTGTTAATGATGGGTGAGTCCAGCACTGATAAAACTTGAAATACGCCAAACAAGTCTCGGGTAGTGCTTTGCAATAGTCGATTGAGAACGAGTCACGCCGAGCGATGCGTCGATGAAAATCCAATCGTAGAGAGAAGGGAGTCAAAATATTTAGTTTTATAGGTATTTCTGGGAATAACAACTTTCCGTATTTATATGATTACATCTTTATTTCAAATCCAATTTTAATTATTATTTTTTTATTCTCTTGAGAAAAGATGAAACTACATTTACATCGTTGTATTTGAAAAACAATGTATTTTTAATATAATAATTTGTCTAGTAAAGTTAGGTTCTTTTTAACAATTTTATTGAACTTATAGATTTTTTTCTGGTTGAACCGTTTATATTTTAATCAAAAGCGTCTGTAGGATTATAGTACAAGCCTTTATCTTTTTGCAAAAAAAAGTTTAATAAAATATATTCATTATTGTGCCGTCTAGAATAAAAACCAAATACTCGAAATTCACACATTTTGATTGCATTTGTGAGCAGTGCAATAGCTCTTAATAACAAAAATAAGGCTGTGAAAAAGCATACCTTTAATAATTGTTCCTTAATACCTCCCCTTTTTTACAAGTCAAATAATTAATAATTTTGGGACTTTCTACACAAAGAAGGTGGATGCAGATTATTTTGGGAGGGATAATTTTTCAAATTTCAATAAAAAAAAATTTGCAATCAATTTTTAATATAAATTTAAATAGTTGTTTGCCCGATCTCTATTCTAACGCCTGGACTCGGTAGAAGCATTATTTGAGACAAAATAAACTAGTTACAGACAATATTTTTTAAATTATATATAGAGCTTTAGAATTATCTCTGTCGCCAGCTTTGTCTAAGAATCTTCCAGCTCATTATTATAAAATAAATACCGAGTTCAGGAAATACTGTAATTGAATAATTTAGTTTAGGAGACACAATATTTTACCTACCATGGTCATAAATAATTTTAGATTTGTCTCATAACTCATAGAAAGCAACACCCACAGACACGTCTCACAGCGAACCGTTAAATTTGCCTGGCAAACTGTCAAACCTCTAAAATTATTATTTCGCGTAAAATGTCTTCTATTATTTTCCTAACGTAAGAACCGCAAAATAATAAAATGTATTAAAATAACTGTAGCAAGTGCAACAGTGGGTACGTATTACATCGTGATAATTGGAAGAGTGCCAAATAAATATCAACCACAAGAGTAAATGAATTAGAGATAAAATTTGCTTCCAAAACAACGTCAGATTGACTATAAACTAGATAATTTGATTGTGATCGGTGACATCTCTTCTGTAATAATATTCTAATTCATGTAACTGAAAATGAATAGTTATCGTGAAATGCCAAGAGCATCTGGTTTTCAAAAGAGAAAAAAACTTGAAAATATTTGCAAGAAAATAAAGATGACAACAATTATTATTATTATTATTATAAGCGAAACACCATTCACGACGTTACGAAGGCGTAGAAGGGCCACATAGTAAAAAAAAATATTTCGACTTTAAAGTCGAAATTCTACGAAGGCGTAGAAGGGCCACATATTAAAAAAAAAATATTTCGACTTTAAAGTCGAAATTCCGACTTCAAACTCGAAATTTTGACTTTAATCTCGAAATTTCGACTTTTTTCTCGAAATTTCGACTTTAATCTCGAAATTTCGACTTTAATCTCGAAATTTCGACTTTAATCTCGAAATTTCGACTTTATTCTTGAAATTTCGACTTTAATCTCGAAATTTCGACTTTAATCTCGAAATTTCGACTTTAATCTCGAAATTTCGACTTTATTCTCGAAATTTCGACTTTAATCTCGAAATTTCGACTTTAATCTCGAAATTTCGACTTTATTCTCGAAATTTCGATTTTAAACTCGGATCATTATAATAACGGGGTAGGTCTATTGTTTCTGGACTGATATTGTTTCATGTTAATCCAAATTATTGTTTTATTCCAAGAATACAATTTTAGTTCCTATTGTTTTAATTTTGTTTAAATATTCTATAGTTTGTTTTTTGGTTTTTAATAAAAATGTTACACAGAATTATAATTTTTATTTCCTTCAAACATTATAAGCAAATATACAAAATAACATGTTTAATATAGTAATACAATGTCAGTTATAAATATCTTTTAATATAGTTCGACTGCATCATACAGGTCACATTTATGTGACAATCCAATTTCAAGCATGATTATATTACATAAACGGTAAAAATCTTCATCACATGGGAATTTTAAAATTGTACATTCTGATGCAAGGGCATCTATAGCAAAAGTTGGTACTTCGAGCAGATAACTTTTTGTTTGAAACAACGTTGGCATTTCATACATAATACATGGTCTGCCAAATGGCATAATACTATTTCTTGAACTTCTTATTTTGTGAACATTCCACTCGAGCATAATGCGATCAAGGTCTCTCTAAAAAATAAAATTACAATAATATGGAAAGAGTAAACAACTTAAAAGAAGAGAAAAAAGTAAAGAGGCATATATAATTATTTCTTATTATTTAGAAAAATATTGTACTTTTTATTGTGATATAGTATTAAATTAGGCTAAAACTATGCCAGTTTGTAAAGTATTTGATTATTTTGTATTTACGTTTAATTTGGGAAAGTGACCAAGTGACCAAGTTTTTGGTTTACATTAATTTTTCTAGCGCTCTAATTTGTGGTCTTTGTTCAAATAACTATAAACATTATTGTTATGTCAAATAAATATTTTAAATTGTTTTTACCTGTACGAGGTTCATAAAACAATACTGAATTAATGATTTGTCCGTAAATCCTCCATCAAACAAGTTTTCTTCTTTAAGCATCTCAAATAAGTTCATCCAATATTGTGCATTATGTTTTCGAACTATTGACCACCAAGCCTCAATTCTTTGATTATGTGTACTTCTTCCATATAAAAATGGTGGCGTTGTTAAGATATATTCATTAAATAATTCATGTAAAGCTTTTTGAATACGTTCAGTTACAATATTTTCAGTGCCTTGATCACTTCTTACAGTTCTTGGACATCCACTAACCATTTTAATTGATTCCATGTAATAAATAAAAATAAATAAAAATAAATAAAAATAAATAAAAATAAATAAAAATAAATAAAAATAAATAAAAATAAATAAAAATAAATAAAAATAAATAAAAATAAATAAAAATAAATAAAAATAAATAAAAATAAATAAAAATAAATAAAAATAAATAAAAATAAATAAAAAT